TGCAGAGGATACAGTACAGACTAAGATGATATTGGTGCAGAGCTGCCTAAGTCGGGCAGCCCACCCAAAGCAAGATTGAAACCAGACTCAGTGGCTGTGTGGGAGGGAGGGGTCCATGTACCTTGGAGGAGGGAAGGGACTTGAGTGAGGGGGGCCCAATGGCATGTGCCCTGCAGGAGAGTCTGGAGTGAGTGGTCCCACGTCAGGGACGTTGAGTGATCACAGACTGCAGCGGTGCAGAGGTGAGATGGATCCATTTGTGCCTCTTGCCAGACTCCGTGGCTGTGTGGGAGGGAGGGGTCCATGTGCCTTGGAGGCGGGAAGGGAATCAAGTGAAGGGGGCCCAAGGGCCCAATGGCTTGTGCCCTGCAGGCGAGTCTTGAGTGGTCCCCTATGCACATGTCGGGACCACTATGGGCCCACCTGTGAACACCAGTTTTTAACACCGCTTCAAGTTGACGGCTGCAGCACAGTTAAGGCATCCGGCTGTTGAGCCCGAGATCACCAGTTCGATTCCCTGCAGCGTCAGATCGAAGACGAATTGCACTGAAGAACAGCCCTGCTTCCTCAACCTGGGACAACCTGAAGTAGCCCACACGGCTCCGCAACGCAAGCAGCACTGGTAGCTGCCGTCCTCGCCGCATGTATCTAGCAGCAGAAAGAGCTTACGGACGATCCTTATAACAGACTTTCAAATTACAATACAAAAAAAAAAAAACAAAAAAAAAAACGATACGATTGCCTCCAGAGCCTACAGTAACTGACCCTTGCAGCAGACTTACAAAAAAACACACAAAAAAAACAATATGATTGCCTCTATGATGCCAATAATTCTTCGGACGCTTAAGACCCTGAGTCCCTGGAAAAAAAAAAAAAAAAAAAACCCTGGCAAGTCAGGCAGCAAGCACCAGCTGCAGTGAGCGGTCTGTCAGATCATAACACAGCTAACCAGCAGGCAATCTACAGTCCTTCCCCGAATACAACGCACGGTCATTATTGCCGAATTTGGTGCATCTTTCGGTCTAAATTCAGCTATAATGACCGTACGTTGTATTCGGCGGAAGACTGTAGGCCAAGAGCAGAGTTGCAAACGTGGCACTCGAATCTGCGCAGCAAAAAATTAAAAAGCGGTTCAGTGGAGAATGCAATATACAATCAAATGTTTGTTTAGATTAGAGAACAGACCAAGGAAAAAGCCCTAGGCAATATTGCTGGCTGTTAAGAAAAAAAATAAAAAAAAATCATGTCTCAATTGAGGACTGACCTTGCCTCCGGGCTTGGTGACGGGGAAAAAAAAAACAAAAGAAAACACGCTTGTCTTAGTTCAAGACGGGTGCCGGGGGGGGGGGGAGATCTGGTCGCAAGAGTGGGCTCGACTGCCAGTGCATGGTTCCCCACGGGAAGCAATCAAAATGCGCTCAGGGTTCGCTGGGCCATAACGCGGGGGACGGAGTGTGTGCATAAGTGTTGTATTCTTGTTGACGACTTGCTTGTGGTAGAGGTCGGACGATTGTGATCCCCAGAATAGGAGGAGCCTTTTGTCCCCCCCCAAAAAAAAGAGAGAGCCAGGCCCACAGGAAGCAATTAAAAAAAAAAAAAAAAACGCCTCACAAAAGATCTCAAGACGATTGGATTG